TTTTATAAATTCAAACGATGACGTACCAATCCTCAAAGCGTAGGGTATGCGATCATGAGTATTTGCATATTTTTTCACATTTTTTGCACTTGTAAATTAATTATTATAATTTTTTAATGTGTTTGATATTTTTAAATTACTTGATATTTTTATATTTAATGTGTTTTATAATTTTTTAGTCTCACTCTTTGCCTATGATGTGAAAATTAACTTGACACACAAATTAAACCCTAATGTTAACAATTGTAGTATATATGTAAGTAGGGATCGTTCTAGACCGGGGATTAACTAGGGATGCTAATCAACACAAATAAGACTTAAAAAACACTAAATTAGACTCTATAGACTCAAAATTGACTCAAAACAGTCAAAACAACAAGAAACAATAAAAAAAACTCAATTCTAGACCTAACAGGTGATTTTTACGAACATAAGACTTAACTTGACTCAAGAGACTAAAAGAAGACAGATTTTGACTCAAATAACAAGACTCAATGGAAGGGGGATTGTTTTTGACGAATTTAAAACTTAAAACAGAAACTTTGCATAAAACACTTTATAAAAACGAATTTGGTGAATTGAAAAGGGTGAAAGGCTAGTTAGATGGTCCTTCTCCACACATGACATATGCATACAAACCAATTTCTAGTTATTATTCCTTTAGACTATGAATGACAACACCCCAAGTTAACCGTGATAGCACAAATTAACCATCAGATTTTCCTTAACTCATTGAATTGGATGGAATACGCATCGCAACCAAATTATCCTTATCAAGTTCCCTAACTATGAAAAGCATGATAGAGAGACATATCAAAGGTCATTAAGTTCTTTGAAAACCATAAGCGTTGACGAGGCATTCGTAACTATGAAAAGTATGATACTCATGCCAAGAATTTACTTAACACAATCATGACTAGTGACTTCCACTACTTGTGAATATAAGTTCATAACGATTAGGTGAAACTCCCTTATACTCTAGCATCAAATTCATGCATGCAAATTAAGTGTCGACCCTCAATCAACATACATAAACAAGTTTTGATAACTCAGATAAGCAAATCACATTCAAGACTCAAGAAACAATAACTGGACGTAATCAATTCATATAAAACATATAATCATGGCTTCGAATTCACCTCCAACTATAAAGAAATTAGTTCCTCATGTCTTTGAAAACATAAAACCAAATTAAAACAAACATTGAAACAAATCTAAGGATAGAGAGAACCAAGAACGTCCTGGCAATTCCAATGGCAGATTTCGAACCCTCCTTGGATTTGCAAGCCATGGCACAAAGTTCCTTCCTTCCTTCCTTGCAAGCACGCACAAATCTCCAAGAATTTTCCAAGAAACCTGCAACACTCTCTCCCTTTTCTCTAAAATATATCTCTCTGTGGTTCTCCCCCTTTTCTGCGACACACACTTAAATATATATATGATGCACGGCTGAAAACCCTTAGAATTAGGTCTAGGGTTTGGTAGAAATCAGGTGGGAAAAGGACTAGGGTGCACCAAAATCTGAAGGGAAAAAGATTGCACAATCCTAAGGGGAAAAGGTTAGGGTTACACGGCAAAGACCAAAGACAATAGGGAGAGGGTGCGGCATACATTTAAGATCAGGACTAAGGCTTCTAGAAAGGGTATCATGGCAGGTTTCTAGAAGAACAAGGGCTAAGGGGTGCGGCACCAATGTAGGAAAAGGATAGAGCTTCTAGAACCTGATATTTAGGTGAATTAATCTGAAATTAAGTCCTCTTTTCAGCTGGAATTAAGGTGGGAAAAGATTAGGTTAAGATAGGATAAGATAAGGCTTGATAAGGTAAGGATAAGACAAGGTTATTTGGATAATGTTCCATGTTTCCTGTTCTTTCCTTATCTTCTTTGTCTTGAACTTGTTTCTCCAAATTTGTAGCATGTTCCTAGCCTCTTTTGACTTCAAATTCGTCCATCCACCTTGCTCTATATGCAAGCTATCCATTCCAGCCCAAAAATGCACTAAAATGCACCAAAATGCACCAAAATGCACTTTCTTGCCAACTTTGCCATTAGGACCTACAAACACACGAAAATTGCTTAAAATACTAAAATAACAAGGAACTAACAACATAAATGCAAGAAAACAAGTTAACTAAGTCGCATAAATATGCTCCTATTAGCCTATAGCATACTATAAAAATAAATAAATAAAAATTAAATTTTTAAAATTTATATAGAATAAAAATACGAAAATACATATTTAATATACAATATATACATATACACTATGGCTATTGTATTTGACACACTCCCCCGATCTGGATTGTCCACTAGGACTCCGAATCAAGTTGTTTTGGGAGACACCTGGAAGGTGACAAAGCCATAAAGTGTGGTGTAGTAGAAAATGTGAATAAATTTAAACCTAAAAGGGCCTAACCAAAAGAGTGCACTGGTGAGCGGGATTGAACCCATTTCACACGTGACGTCAAAGCATAAGAACTGTACAACAAATAGGGTGAGGGTTATACCATTGAAGATAACCATGTACAGAGATTTGCCAGAGTCGTCGTTTATACGTAGGCATGACTACTAAACCAGGAGGGGCGAAAAACAGAAGGGTGAGTGGGCACAAAAATAAAGGTTTATAAAATCCAGTTATTTTCCAAACATACTAACCCCTCACTGTAAAACATGTATAGTTTCCCGAAAAACATACTACGTATAAGTATGAAATCAAACGCATGCCAACAGTAAATCCAGAAGTATGCCACAACACAATAACCCAACAGCAATATAAATATAAGCATGTGCTCAACAATCTATACTAGCACGCAAGTCAGAGTCGCCTAATGCGACTGTACGACTTGTACGACAGGACTAGGGCGTATATTATTATTACACCTAATCCTGTCGTACAATTTGCATTAGGCGACTCCGACTCGTGTGCTAGTATAGATTGATGAGCAATAGGTGTAGTCGTACATATCGCATTAGGCGACTCCGACTTGCATGCTAGTATAGATTGTTGAGAACATGCTTATATTTATATTGTTGTTGAGTTATTGTGATGTGGCATACTTCTGGATTTATTGTTGACATGTGTTTGATTTCATACCTATACGTGGTATGTTTTTCTGGAAACTATACATGTTTTACATTGAGGGGTTAGTATGTTTGGAAAATAATTGGATTTTATAAACCTTTATTTTTGTGCCCACTCACCCTTCTATTTTTCGCCCCTCCACGTTTAGTAGTTGTGCCTACGTATAAACGAGGACTCTGGCAAATCTCAATAGATGGTTATCTTCAATGGTATAACCCTCACCCTGTTTGCTGTACTGTTCTTATGCTCTGATGTCACGTGTGAAATGGGTTCAATCCCGCTCACCAGCGCACTCTTTTGGTTAGGCACTTTTAGGTTTAAATTTATTCACATTTTCCACAACACCACACTTTATGGCTTCGTCACCTTCCAGGTGTCGACCAACACAACTCGATTCGGAGTCCTACTGGATAATCCGGGTTGGGTGTGTCAATATTTCTTAGTAAGTTTTTTTAGTAGTTTAAAAAAAATTAAAATCATCAAAATAACTTTTTTCGTAACATGTCGAAACGGGTTATTCTCGTGTCACCCTTGTGTAAACCTGTTAAGCACTCGTTATTAACGGGTTCTTATCATGTAACTTGATAACGATCCGATTAGTTATTGTGTTAAGCCGAAATTGCCAGCCTAATTGAGTTTGTCTTCAAGACAAAAATGCTATAGTGAAAAAGACTTAAAATTATCCACAAATGCCACTTTTAGTAGTGGTAGTATTGTTTTTGCAAAAAAGAAACTGTTGCGGTAGAATTTACTTTTTCTTTTGTTGGGTGTTGAGTTGGAAAAATTGGACCATTCTTGGAACATCTTAACCAATAACCATTGTCCAGAAGCTTTTGGAAGCTTTCTTAGGAATAGTTTTGGTATTTGGAAAAATTGTTGTCCCTCGGTGAAATGTAGCCCAAAAATTGTCTCTAAGCAATTTTGCATAAACCCTAGGCATATAATTTTTTTTCTCTCTATGTGAGAGGTCTTCTCACTTTCTGTGAATTTGTGCTTCCAATTCCGGTGAATCGATCAGCCACTAGGGCTAGTAGTGGCCAGGGTTGATGGCAACCTTTTTTCTTGTTCTTTTTCTTGTCTACTGTTCTTTGTTTTTCCGACTTGCTTTTCCTCTGTCATCCACCCCCTTGCGCTTCTGATTTAACCGGCCTTTGCCCCATATCGAAAAGTCTCCTTTTTCGATCTCTCCTTTCTTATCCTCCCTATAATCTTTCCACCTTCATGCATCTACTCAACCCATTTTCTTTCTCTTCCGTTTGGCTTCGTTCGATCTTCATTCTGCAATTGTTTGGATCTGTAACCTTTTCGTACTACCATGTTTCACAGATTTCAAGGAAGATGTGTAGAGCTTCAACTCGGGTGGTCACACCACCACTTTTCGTTTGTGTGTCGGTTTCGGCACAGGCAACTGTTGCCTGTGGGAGCTTCTTTCCCACTCACTTCCTTCTCTTAGTGGCCATAGACTCGATCTGTGGGGTGGTTGTTTGTGGACGATGCAATTTGTTTCTAGTTTCGTTTTATGGGCATGGCTGGGATTGATCTTTCGGCGTTTGTAGGGGGCCTGGTTTGTGGTCGGCGAAATGTGCTTCTACGACGGAAAAGGTTTACGTCATTTAGGTTTCTGTGTGTATTTTTCTATTTTGGGCTCAACTTTTGAGTTGGGCTCTTTTTTTTATGGTGTTTTGGAGGTTAGTTATGTGGTTTCTGTAAATTTGGGCATTCAATTGTGTGCGTATGTTGTGTGTTGGTAATAAAATTTACCTTATGACAAAAGATAAAAAATAAAAAATAAAAACCTAAGATTGTAAATAAACATTCTAATTAGAAGAATATGGTCTCATTATTCCTCCAACAGTACTACTAGCAACTAGAAAAATTACTATTATTATAAATAAATAAATAAACAAACTCACAAAGACAGAGATCTGACCAGTTGGGTTTGCGTGCAGTCGACAGGACTCCTTCTATCCACCTACTCACAAGTTTCACTCTCCCTCTCACTTAAAGCAAGTCCACTCCCCTTCTCACCCAAAACCCACAAAGATCCCTCACTTTCTCTCCCATTTTCCTCCAAACCAAACACAACCCAGATGGCCATCAACAGGGACTCGACTCCCCCTCCAATGATCGGCAAGATTGGTCCCTACACTGTGTTCATGACTCCGCCCTCCACCCCTAAGCCGCCTGAACCGGTCTTTGAATCTCCCCGGAAGGTGGCCGCGCCGGTCTTTGAGTCCCCCAAAAAGGTGGCCCCGCCTCCGGTCCAGCCGCCGCCTCAGCAATTGGTGAAGCCCATTGCCGTATCATCGGATTCCTCGGCCGATGGGTCGGTGTTGGGTATTTTTAAGAATGCGGTCACCAAAGTGCAGAAGGGTAAATGCATGTTTTTGTTTACTTATGATTTTGACATGAAATTAATGGAATGAAAGAAAGCCCAGATGAAATTTTGTTGTGAATTGTTGAGTAAATGGTATAAATAATTTTTATTTGTTAGGAAGATTAAGGGGGTTGTAGTCAAATAGGATTTGAGAAGACTTTAAAATTATAGTGTAGTCAATTAAAAGATTTTAAAAGATTTTGAAATCCATTTAAATTTAGATGTAGTCAATTAAAGGATTTTAGAATCCTTTAAAATCTAGATGTAATCAATTAAAAGATTTTAAATGATTTTAAAATCCATCCAAATCCAAGTGTTTTAAAAAAATTAAGATTTTGGAGGATTTCAATAAATTGTGGATTTTGTGGAATTTGAGAGTCAAAAATATATATAACCAAGACTAAAAAGAATCCAACCTCACCCTCTAGGATTTCAAATCCTTCCACCACAATCCATCACAATCCATTCAAATTCTTTAAAAATCCATATGAATTTTGTAAGAATCTTTAATCCTCTTAAATCCTATCAAATCTATTATTTTTAAAATCCTTTAAAATCTTGTTTGGCTACACCTTCCTAAATTACCATTAGATTTGATGTTTTAATATATATATTTTTTTTCAATTTATTTTTTTATGCTTGATGGAATGTAAGCAGAGTTGATTGGTGATTTTGTAACCCCTGCTTGGTTTTCGGAGAGAATAGATAGTAGATTACACGGTGTTATGGTTTTTGTGCTTTCCTCGTTTGATGGGATGAATGAGATAGGTTGTGATCAATTAAAATGAACTTGAGTTCAGTCCGTTGTTTGTTGTGCCAACATGTGAGATAGATTGGACAGGACATGATGAGTTATGAATTCACAATAGAGTGGGTTATCGAACCTATCCTTATACATGGGTTACAAGTCCATGTCAGTCCAATCCTATCTGGAGGCCCAATCCTATCTTAGGCCACCAAAGGGGCCATTAAGGTTTTGGTTTGCAGAAACTTGAAAGCGAATACTCGGCAATCTGGATTTGCATTTTATAGTTTCACCAGTCCTACACTTGTTGATATTTTCATTGCAAGTGAACCACTACTAAGGATGCCTCTTTGGTTATGTTGCAGCTCATTCAAGTTTGGATGACCATTTGGCGCGTTGGTTTGGGTTAAATCAGTCAAAATATCAATGGGCACTAGATGATTATTACCAGAGCAAGGGGATGGTAAGCATTTGAATGCTTGCATGCATATTACTTGTTTGCTTTTGTTGCATTTTTATGTTGTAATGTTTAGTAGCTTAAGCTTGATGTCTTGATAAAGCATTGGATAAATTCAAGTGCGCAGATGTTGATTGATACAGATATAAGCAATCGAATAAAATCATTGGTTTAGTTTCCTTGTCAGTGTCTCATCATGCGCCGTCATACAATCAGTACTAATGCATTTGTAATTTGTATTGATTAAGTTCTTGTGCGAAGTTTGTTTTGTATATACAAATGTCTTCCTAAGACCAGTATTATGAAAGTCAAGGGTTTTTAATCCTCTGGCCAGTGAATGCTCTTATTTTGTTTTTTAAAACCCCTTTTTTGTTTTCAGTTAGAAAGTTACTTTATAACAGGTAACAGAAAGAGAGATCGAGGTCTCTTTAAAGTTTACGGTATGTGTGTTGACCTACTCCAACTTACAACTCCTTTTGAAATATGGATCAAACTTCAGCAATAGTCACTATATTTGATATCATATCGTAGTGCAAGGGTGAAGGAATATTGGTAAAATGTTGAAAGAAAGGACATAAAATTGGTATCTAAACACTTGGTCTGATGTTAAAATAGTTCTCAAGCAGAATGGCCGAGTACACAACTTAAACCTAACCTTGTCCAATAAATGATTCAAATTTATGATATTGAAAAATCAAAGATCCATTGTAATGTAGTATTACTTCCTCATACTTCCGGTGTGTTAAGGTAAACTTGATACTTAATTGTAATATATTTTACAAGAACAACCCCCGCGTCACCATTTGTTTTGTGATGTAAAATTTAAGTAGGGTTAATTATAAGAACATGTTTGAGAAGTAAAACAAGTATTGAGTTGTGTACCCTATAAGGATAAACTTGTGTGGAATAAGATATTCAGCCTTACAGCAGCTGGTCCTTTAGACCGTGCTTATAAACTTGTGTTACATTAGTATTATTATTATTAATTTATCCACTATTTTGTAATTCTTGTTTTTATTTTAATAAAGTATCATCGTTTCTTCTCAAAAAAAAAAAAAAAAAATTATTATTTATTATTATTGCCATCTCATCTCTGCATCTTTTTCTCAACTTATTCTGATATAAGCCCTGAGCACCATTCTTGGCGTCTAGTACAAAATACATCAGACCGTGGTTCATCGCACAATAACCCCACATTTGGTTTTCACATACCTGACCCCGTTAACTATGGGTATATGCTCCCATCTTGTATTGCCATTATTTACCTATGAAGTGAGATGGGAACCATAACAGATACTTCTTCATGATTGAATCCCTAGCCTCCGTATAACCCCTTGAACGCGGCTCGTCAATGTAAGGGAGACTAGCTTACCAACCATAACCCCTTTAACCCTTAACTTGTTTGGAAATAAGCATGTCTAAGCCAAACCATTCACGTATCTCCGAGGATTCTGTGCGTGTTTTACATTTTTGGATATTGTTTTGCTAACTTGAGTGTAATGATAACATTTAGCTTACTTGATTACAAATGAGCTTTGGTACTACTTTAACTTGCCTTTATTACTGTCTAACCGTTGCTGTTATCTGTAACCAATAACTTGATGCTTTTACCTGATTACAGGAAATGGACGGTGCAAAACCAAAAGAGATATCTAGCAAAATGCAGAGTGTGTAACATGGTTTCTGGACAGGTAAAGATAAGATGATGTTTAAATACCACTTTATGTCAGGTTTCAGAAACTTTTTTTAGCTTTTCCACTGAATTTACATTGGTTTGCAGAATTAATTGCAAGAGAGAGCCTCATGCAGAAATCTTTTGTGTATACTATAATTATATGCATATGTATGGAGTAGAAGAAGTGCATCTGAATCTGTAGAATCCAACCAACTTCTGGGTTTCTGGTTAATTCAATTCTCCGCCTGCTGCAACAGCTGAATTTGGTTGTCTAACAGTTTATAAGCCATCCAAGTCTATAGTTTTCAACCAAAGTTTTGTTCATGTACTCCTTTAAACTGCCAGCTGATTGTATTTGTTGTTGTCGTACGTGTGGGTTCTGTACTTTTGGCTTATTGGTGTATTTGTATTTTTCATGACAGCCGTAATTTGTGGCTTATGATTGTAAGAGATGCTTTTTCGGCATGTATTTGTTGTCCCTCATCGTTGATTCACTGCTGAATTTCGGTCACATTATAATTGGGTCAGTCCTGGGACATCGAGCTTTAATCAACTAAATCAGTAGGGTCACTTTCCGAGAACTTGGGACCCATTCCAACATCTGAAAGAGGAATATCATTAGATTAATTGATAAGGGTAGTTTTTCAATTGCATTACTTGTTATTTCTTTTTCTCTTCAGATATCAACTTTAACGAGCACACTGACATTTTAGGATTCCTACAGTCGGCCTTACTTAGTGGGATAATGCTTTGTTATTGCTGTATATCAACCTTAGGTTGAACAATCATGGCTCGTTAACTAAGAGTGATTTTACAACATCCATCTTGGTGTGTGACAGTCGTCATAAGACGTTCAGACAATTCGTGTGCTTCCTGAGACTCCTATCATGCAATTTATCTTCTAGAATCTGAGGAAGTTGGTACTAATTGATGAAGAACATAGTTGGTACTAACTGTGGAGGTCACCATCTTTGTTGTAGTATACAAGAAAAGAAGAAAGAAAAGTAGAAGGTCCGTTAGTCTGGAATTTCACGACTTCCTAAATGATATGGAAATGGTTGCCATCAGGTCTAGTGCTCGACAACTGCAGACTGCAACAGATAATTTTATCAACTTGTTAGGTTCGGGAGGTTTTGGTGCAGTTTATAAAGGGATATTTGGTAATGGAGTCCTTGTCACTGTAAAGGTTCTAAATCGGAGCTCGGTCAAGAGAATTGAGGAACAACTCAAGGCAGATTTGGTTTTAACAATTGGAAGTATTCATGGTTTCAATCTGGTGAAAAACTGGATTCTTAGACATTACTATAGCAGATGTATTGTCACATAGCAAAGGTGTAGCTTCCATTTGTTCCTCTCCAAAATCAGCTAGCACAAACCTTAACCAGATTGCTTGTGCTATGGCTTATGCAACACTCACATATTCAGCTTCTGCAGTGGATAAAGCCACACTGCATTGCTTGATAGAAGCCCAATAGAACATCCTTGAACCAAAACTGAATTCATAGCCTGAGGTACTCTTCATATCATCTTCACTCCTTGCCCAATCATTGTCACAATAACCTATCGACATAGCTGCTTTACCCTTCACATACTTAATCCCAAAATCCAGTGTTCCCTGCACATATCTTAGAACTCTTTTAGCTATCCCCATGTGTTTTCTGGTAGGTTTATGCATAAATCTTGCTAGCAAACAAGATGCATACATCAAATCTGGTCTAGTAGTTGTTAGATATGATAGACTACGAACAATCTTCCTATATAGACTTCATCAGCATCCTCATTGCCATCAGACTTAGACAATTTTTCATTGATTGCTAGTGGTGTTCCCACAACCTTACAATTCTTTAAACCAAACTTCTCAAGCAATGACTTGGCATATTTCTTCTGGTGAATAAATATGCTCTTCTCAGTTTGAATTATACCCAAACCAAGGAAGTGATGTAGCAATCCTAAGTCTAACAACTCATATTGTTTCATCATTTCCATTTTGAATTCTTGAATCATTGTATCAGAACTCCCTATGTAGATGATACAGAGATACAATAAGAATACATGCATCACTGGATTTGATATATAGGGTGGCTTCACGTGGGCTTTTCTCAAATCCAGACTTGTTGAAACAGGTATTTATCTCATCATACCAAGCTCTGGGAGCTTGCTTTAGACCATATAAGGCCTTTTTTCAGTATATAGACCTTGTCTTCTTGTCCTTTCACTTCAAATCCTAGTGGTTGATCAACATACACCACCTCATGTAGTGTACCTTTTAGAAATGTAGGCTTAATGACACACCTTGACCCGGAATGCCCACTTAGGCTCCGAAATCGAGTTGTGCTGGCCGACATCAGGAGGGTGACGAAGCCATAAAGTGTAGTGATGTGGAAAATGTGAGTAAATTTAAACCTAAAAGTGCCTAAGTATAAGAGTGCGCTAGTGAGCGGGAATGAACCTATTTCACAAGTGATGTCAGAGCATAAGTAAAGTACAGTATAGTAGATTGAGAATTATACCATTGGACGTAGTTTCTGACATCAGCGTTTGCCAAAAATCCTCGTCGACACAAACACTACTACTAAATCCTTGAGGGGCGAAAAACAAGGGTGAGCGGGCCTAAAAATAAAGTTTTATAAAAATCTTTTTGAAAACATTATAACCTCTCGTCGTAAAACAAGTATAGTTTCCAAAATATACATACTACATATAGTATGAAAGTACTTACCGTAGCCTGCAATATCTCAAGAATTCAATACGTCACAAAATTCGTAAATAGGCATAAAACTTCTAGTAATCACATCTTGCACAAATAAACATATCACATCTAGTGCTCATCGACATATGCTGACACACGAGTTCCTGCAGAGGTATTCTGACGTGAACATAATTAGGTGTAATAATGATTTATGCTTTAGTACTACAATCACGTGAAGACTAGCGCTATGCGCATCACATACGAGTCCTAATTGCCTATAGCAATCTAGGACAGGACTGGCACCTACAATAGATCCAAAGTGAGCGTAGCAATGTGCACATACACGTGAAGCCTGGCCCTAGCCTGAGCGAGTACTGACACCAGTGTAGCACACGATGAGCAAATAACATACATACGATCATGCAACAATAAATTGATAATTCACGTCGATAAAATACTATTCAATAAATATTAATCATGGCCAATCCCATAAAAGTACGCATACATGTGCATCTTTTAGGATTTAGGATAATTTCACAAATTCTTTCATTTCGCTCATTCTTATAAACATTAGTCTAATCTAGGCATACGTAGGAAATTATTTTTCAAATATACAAATGGAAACTAATTAAATATAGCAAAGACCCACTCACAGATATTTGTGAGATCATAGCCGTTCGAATTAGGAAAGCTAGAGTGTCCAATAATAATCACACCTAAGCATAATAGTGGGATCCATTAGTAAAACTAAACTAAAATGATCAAATTTGAGAAAATGGAGTGCAAATTCGGAATTAGCACGTCGAAATACGCTAAGAATGGTCCCGGGCAAATTTTGTAAAAAAGTCAACGGTCAACCCTAAAACGTCAATTGAGCCGTTCTGGTGGTCAACTACGTTAAAACATTGGAATTTTACTAAATAGATGTCAAAAACGGACTCAGGGCGTAGAAATTAGCCAACGAGGATATCTGACAAAATTTCAAAAAAGTCACCAAAAGTCAACTAATGGTCAACAGTTAACTTTAACGGACTATTCTAATTCTTAGATAGAATATTCTGTTAAAGTTAACTGAAAGGTTAACGGAATATTCCCTCTTAAATCTTAAATGGATCTAGATCGGTCTTGCAGATCCGGGTTATGGGTCTAGGCTGGTTCTTTATTTGGGCCTTTTTTTTTTTTAACGAATCGGGTTGACCCGGTCCCAATCGCGGGTCTGGTTGTCGATCTCTGGAAAAATATGGACAGAAAACTTCCACAGCTTCGATTAGCTTCAAAACTCAACCAAAATTAACCATTTAAAAGCCAAAATGAAGCTAGGAGGGTAGGGATTCGAGTTATACCGTTTTGGTCCTTAGTCATGGCTGGAAAAAGAACTGCAACACCAGTCTGTCGAAAAATCTGGGAAATTTTCGCCTGTGCCATTTTTGAACCAAAACCTTTACCAAAGACCTTAGAAAAGATAGAAACATAAACCAAAACATGATCCAAGACGTTTTGGGTGGTTTTTGGAACTTATCATTGTCGGAACTCGATATCTTGCTAGAGAAAAAATATAAACAGTGATGGTGTCACTGTGCAGAGAGACAAGGAATGAGAAAGAGGTTTTTGCCGGTAGGAGATCGTGGTTGAGAGAGTCTAGGGCTTGCGGTGCTTGCCAGAAATGTGGTGGTGCTTCGATCTCGGCGCTGGTGGTTGAAAAGGTAGGATGAGAGGGATGAAAGAGCGAGAGAGATGAGAGTAGAAGTAGGGTGAGGTGGCAGCAAATGAATGGTGGTTTAGTAGAAATGGGAACACGGGAGAATGGGCGTCGGCCCCGTTAACATAAAAAAAATCTGAACATAAATTAATAAAATAACGAGGGACAATTCATCCAAAATTTGTGAATTTACTGAATTACCTTTCACCTTCGTACATCCATGAAATCTTTGTCGTAACTCCGAATTCGATTCTGGTTGTGTCTACGCGCTAGTACCGTCGAGAGCTTTAAGAATATGGTAAAATACTAGCTCATATGCATCACGAATTGACAGTCAACGAAAGCCAACAATCCCGCCTTTAGGGGTATTTTCGTTGATTCAGTCTTTTAAATTTATAAAATCATAAAATTAGGAACAGGTTGTTACACTTAACATCTAATTGGAACAATTTCCATTCCTTTTGGGCTGCCAATGTAAATGGTATCAAGCCTTGCCACTGGTGCAAATATCTCATTAAAATCAACCCAGGCTTTTGAGAATAGCCTTTAGCCACTAATCTTGCTTTGTTCTTCTGCACAGAGCCATCAAGGTTTGGTTTTATCTTATAAACCCATTTGACACCAATAACTGGTTTATTAAATAGTCTATTAACCAACTCCCAGGTATCATTCTTTTCTATCATCTCAATCTCTGTGGACATAGCTTTTCTCCAAGCTTCATCTCCTGATGCCTCTTCAAAGCATTTAGGTTCCATAACACAGAAATTACACCTTTCATATATATATATATATATATATATATATCATTCAAGCTTTTCAACCCGAGATGAGCATGATCAAACTCTTGTGGACCTGTGTACACCATTTGTTTTTCTTGACCTGGAGAAAAAGCAACAACTTGATCATGTTGATTTAGCAATGATTCTATGCACTCCACATCTCCATTATTCTCTTCAATCTCAATAGTACTTCCTTCCTCTCCATGTGTTCCATTAGTGAATGCAACAGTCATGACCTTCTTAGTACAATATTTCCAATCCTAGCTAGCATTCTCATTTAAAATTACATCTCTAGGGATAACCATCTTCTTGGTTTATAGATTGTAC